TATACTCTTCTTTATTTGGAATCCCTGGGGACTAATAAAATCCAGAAAACAGCTCTCTAATAATGTAACAATAGAAAAAAGATTGGTGAGATCATCAGCTCAGTTTCTGAAACATAAGCAACTCTACTTTATAGTAGATTTTGATTATTAGTCAACTTAAATATGTGGAATAGGATAAGAAGCATACATATCTATTACAAATATGATTATGTATGTGTGTTTGTTGATGTGATTTTGTTTGCTTGTTGTTTACATATTTTGCTATTGTTTCTTTCTTTAATGATTTCATTTTCCTGTCACTATAGTGCTATATGATTTCATCTGAAGTTTTAAATTGATCAGCATTTCTTCTGCAGAAAAACAGTCATTATCCTTCAGAGGATATTGGTTGTAAGGAAACCTGAACTCCTGTATTTATTGTAGCACTATTTACAACAGCCAAGATGTGCAAACAATCTAAATGCCTCAAAACAGATGAATGGAATAAGATGTGGTATCTCTACACAATACTACTCAGCCATAAAAAAAAAAAAAGTATAAATTCATGTTATTTATGGCAATATGGGACTGGAATGACTTATAGTAAGTGAAGTAAGTCACAAGGAGAAGAACAAATATCAGATGGTTTCACTTATCTGTGGAATACAGAAAAACTAAACAACAGGTCAGACAATGACAAATCTTGAAAACTGACCATAGAGCTGAGGTATCTAGGAGGGATGGAGGATGTGGAGAGAGAGGAGGGAGGGATGAAGACAGGAGAGGGAAGAACACATTAGACTGTGACTGAGGCTATCAGAAAAAGGATGTGATGAGGTGGTAGCAAAGGTGGGGGGGAGGTTTAAAGGAGGATTACTTTTTTGATTGCTGAGTAATATTCCATTGTATATATGTACCACATCTTTTTAATCCAGTCATCTATTTTTGGGCATTTGGGTTGACTCTACATCTTTCCTATTGTAAATAGAGCAGCAATAAAAATAAAGGTGCAGGTGTCCTTTTGAATCAATGTTTTTGAGTCCTTTGGGTAGATAACTAGGAGTGGAATTGCTGGATCATATGGAAGCTTCTTTTTTAGCAGTTGGAGAAACCTCCAAACAGCTTTCCATAGTGGTTGTATGAGTTTGCATTCCCACCAGCAGTATTGGAGAGTTCCTTTTTCTCCACATCCTCACCAATATTTGAGCCTTTTGCAGCAACATGGATGGCACTGGAAGGGATCATGCTTAGTGAAATAAATGAGAAAGAAAAAGAAAAGTACCATATAGTTTCACTCATAGGAGGTGCATAAGGGATCACACACACACACACACACAAAGCAACTGTAATAAGGTAAAAATGAAAAAACAACAAACTATAAGCCAGAGACATTTTACAGGGGTGAAGAGGAGAATGGGATCAAAACTGGGGTGAGAAGAGTGCACTGGATTATGGTGGTGGCATGGCACATGGGTGAATTGGTGGTGGGAAGTCCACAGGGATTACAGCCGATATGAAAAAATGCACAAAATGAAGAATGATGTAAAATAAATAAATTAAAATAAATAATAATAATAATATATGTATATATATAATAAAGGAGGATTACTGAGGTTTTGGTGGTGGGTGTGGTGAAATAACATACATTGGTAGAGATGCAAACCTATACCCCTAAGATAGACTGTGATGTAAATCAACATTGCCTCAATAAATATACCTTTATAAAAAGGGATTAGAAACCAGGTTGACAAAAGTTTCCTATTTTGTAAAATCAAAAGTAGGAAAGGATAGCTAGTTTGGGAAATAATTATTTATGGAGCATCTGCTATGAATGGAGGCCAAGCTTGCAAAAGGAGATTTTAAGTGTGATTTTTTAAAAATAATTTATGTGCATCTTCTTTGTTATAAAGCCCCTTATCTATAAAATGGCAGTTGTTTTATGTTCATTTATACTAGATAATTGTGAAAATTAAATGAGTAAAGTATTTAGAATAATGCTTAACACAAAGTAAGAGCAATAAAATATCAATAAAAATCCAATAATAATACATAAACACACAAATGATAAACAAATATAAATATACATATTCCTTTTTGGCTTTTAAACCAATGAGTATATTATTCCTCAAAATATGTTTTTCTCCCTTTCCCATTGATAACTTCTATAACTTGAATTTCTTTTGAAATTAAGATGCAAAAGTCAATGTCTTTGAATAGTAATCGTATTTATATAGACTAAAAGTGTTGATAATTTCTGTTAACTTGAGAAGTCTAGAACTTGGTTTGGTCTTTAAGCCACATTTCCAACAATAAAGTAATCCATGGTGAGCTGAATCATACCTAAAGAATATTTGATTCCTGTTGCCAAACTTTTTCCCAAACAATAAATTCCTCTTCTTCAGGAGACTGATGTGATTCCCATTCTTATTTCTCTTTAAAATCTATTCTTAGAAAATGCTGAATGTGATATGTACATTGTTAACCATTAAAAGCTGCCTTTCATTTTTTTCATAGAAGTTGATGGCTGCTGCTACATCCCACTTGCATTTCTTAGACTGGACCTCTTAGGATCTGCTTAGCCACAAATCCTTGAACATATACTGCACATTTGTTTTGCTACTTCTTTTCTATTAACTTTGAAATTAGTTCCAAACTCAACAGTCTTTGAAAGTATTTTGAAACTTGTAAAGGTTGTTTTGAAAGCTACTCCTATTCATTTTGGAAAACAGTTTCAAATTCTTTCAGGGTCATTTCTGTCAAGTTTCAGAACATAACAGGAAGTTTCTTTAAAATGCAATGAACAAAGATACAGATTTTTAACATTTTAGGGAAAACAAATACTATTATTGAAAAACATCTTTTAAGCTTTTAAGCACTAAGAATTTCATGAAACACTAAATGAGTCTCCTGACACAACTGAATTGTCAAAAGCTCTTTTTAGTATCTGCATATATGTATATACATATATGCAAATATATGCATGTGTATGAATATATATATATATAAATTAAGGTTAATATAGTTGAAATCTTAGGCTAAGGTTTAACTGCAGGAATGTAATGATTTTAAAGTCTAAATATAAATCAATTAATCGAGTCTAGTATAGCTTTTTTTAGTATACATGTTTATAACTAATAAATCTATAAATGATCACAATTAATTATATAATTTTCACATTTTCAGAACATTGGCTTATAAATTTCAAATATGTAAATTTAATGTACCTGAGAAAAAATATTTTTTAAAAGAATAATTATGAAACATTTATCTTTAAGAAAATTTTATATTGCTGGTCATTGTTATTAACCTAAAATGAATGTGGACTATCAGAAGTTAATTAACTTAAAAATTTGGAGTTAAATGCATTAAGTTCTTACACTTTTTGTAAAAATATAATGTTACATATTTTCTTACTAAAATAAGCAATTAATGATATCACATGACCCTTTATGAAGATATTAAATAATAATATGGCATTCATAAAATATTTTTTGATAATATTAAACCCAAGATAAAAGATGTAAAAGAAATCATATTGAAGTGGTTATTAATTAAAGTGACAATAGGAGAATGCATGTTAAAAAATAACAGTTCAAATCTTGTTTCAAAGCCTAATTAATAACTAAAATTTGTAATTTCTAGAATTTGAAATCATTGTAGAATTTTGAAATCATTGTAGTGGTTTTATGATTTAATGATAAAAAGATTGTATACATGCCATTCTGTCATACAGTCAAATACTATTGAATAAATAGTAAAAAGTGGAAAATGCATTTATAGGCTGTATGGTGTAGGGGAATCTTGTCAAGTATTCAAAAGCAGACTTGTGAAAACTATTTCTGCTGTTTATAGTTTCACATATCTAGTGATGGATATGCAAGAAAATTCCTTCAAAGTAGAAATACTGATAGTGGATGACTAAGAATCTTTAAAATTACTTTTAGCTTTACAAACCTAAAATTAATAGACTCAAAACAATTTCCATATTAAAAATAATCTTTTGAGTTTACAATAGGAGGTCTCGATATAACAATTCCCAAACTTCTCTTTTCATGGTAAAACATCCATATTTGAAAATTTAACATTTCATTCTTTAACTTTTTCAATGTTGAATTTAGATTTATATAAAATATGGATATTTTAAAGACAAAGAATTCACTTACCAGGTGCCTGACTTGGGGAACCAAGCTTCAGATTTTATTTCTGCAGAAGTCCGTTAATGGAAGCTTTACTTTGCATGTTTTTTTACTCATTCATGACAGGCTGTCTTCAGCGGCAGGAGAGAAAAAAAGGACAAGCCCATAAAGCTGTATAGGGTTAATGATTTAGCTGTACAAAGCCTGCAGTTATTTTAGGTATTAAAAGCTTAAGGGAAAGTTTTTTGTTGTCACATATGGTGGTAAATGATGTAACAGGAACCCACAGAAATATATTAAGCTTAGTTTCTGTAAGTAACTGCGATCAGATAATTTGGCACCAAACAGAAACTCCTTGCTTTCACTTTTACTTTGCTTCTGACTTTAAGCATAAACGCACAGTACTGCACAGTGGCTGTTTTATGGCTTCAATGCTCCAATTAAAAACTCCATTTAAAGGTGCTTTCATGTATTTCTACATCTGTTTGGGCAAGTTAGAGAGGCAACAGCAAGTTCTCTGTGTAGAAGCTAAAAGGAGTGAAGCCAAGTTTCTTAAATTTGTGTGTTTATTAATTGGTACAATAATAGAATGTGTAGTCGCAAGCCCTCATTCCACAAAATATGAAAGTGTAATTATTTTATATTATCACCTTTAACATACCAAATATTTTCATTGAGTGGAAAAATCTTAAGTTTTTTCTATAGTCTGTTTCAGAAATGAAGCCCAGAAAAAAATGTCAGATAAGTCAACATTCCAAAAAGGCAATTCAGTATGTTTACAGATTATCTGTAACCTTAATGGGAAAAGGAGGAAAATATTTTTAGTGTGCATGCTTAACATGCTATAAAGATTTTCAAGTTCTCAGGATGCTTCCAAATGTGCCTGTTGCAGAAAATTGCAGATATGCTTTAGGAAATTGCTATAGGAATTCATGATTTAGTAGCATTAGCTATTGCAGAAGAAAGTATGGCATAAAGCAAACAAGAAGATTAATTGGTAAGACACTTCAAGTTAATTTGATTGAAACATGCATTCTACCTAATTTGACTTCATGGGAAAGAGTCAGGGAAATAATCAATTTAATTCACTCTTTTCTCTCCCTTATATCTCCTACCAAGTAGAAATCAGAAGACTAAGAGTCCTATTGGTATAATCCATACACACCAGTCTCAAAGAGCAAAGGACAGGATAGAAAAAAAAATGAAATGTGGCATGTGAGTCTGAAGGAGCAAACATCTAACATAATAAACTTTCAACAGGTGAGCATTTTATGAATAAATATTTTCCAGGAATAAATTTTACAATATGCAGAGCCTATGTGTGTGCATATGCACATATATGTATGTACACACATGACTATATTTATTTACATATAAGCATATATATATGCAATATGGAGAAACTTAAAACATGACCAAAATAACTGGTAAGACATGCTTTCCTCTAAAAATGACTACACCTAGCACCAGAACACAAGTTTTTGTGGAAATAGATCAGTGGATTTCTTCAACACTCCTCTGGATCTGAGAAGTCAGAACCTAAAGGCAAGATTCTCAGAGACTAAATCTCCAGTATGTCATAACAACCTCAGCATGGGCAGTATTTCCTATAGATAATCTGTAAGGTTTGGGCTTATTTTCATCAAATTCTGGAACCTAAATATTTCTGACACTTTTGGTCAAATATTGGAACTCTCAGAAGCATTCATGCAAGTACTGTGTAATGAAGTCAGCATTTTTCAAGAAGAAAATGAGTGACTGAGATTTAAATGTAGTAGGAAGGGTTAAGAGTAAAACTGGGGTGCTTGAATTCTTGAGAAAGTAATTCTTTCTACATGATACCCAAGAGATGCAGAACTGTTGACACAGTACTGATTTAATGAAGAACTGTAAAAAGCAAGATAAGACCACAGGAGTTAACTCTACTAATGTTGGCAAATATTGATTGTTCTCCATTTTCTCTGTGTAAGTAATCTGCTTTGGACTTGGCTCAATGACTTTGGACTTGGTTATCATCTTTTGGACCAGCTAAACTTGAGCATGTTTTTAATCTAAGTTGGTAGATTGGCAGCAAGCTGGAGATATCTGTTCATTCATAGACACAGAGAACAGGCATCAGCAAGGGAACAACTGTGCTTGGAAAAGAACTGAGGACCTGAGAAACAGCACAAAGAGGTGAGACAGAGAACACCAGAAAGGATAGGAAATCTGAGAAATTATCTCATCAGGAAACTTCCCCCCAAACATACTGACTCATAATTCCATTAGCTCCAACCCATTGCAGCTGAATGAGAACCACTTACAGTAAACAATACTGACTGCTGTGTAGACATGGAGTTAGTGCAGCTGGGTCTGATTGAGGGAATATTAAGGATCCTGAAAAGTACACTTTTTCCTATCTGGGTTGAACAGAAATTTGAGCAGTTTCACTACTATGTAATTTGCAACTTCCCATGGTGTCTGTGGCTCAAGTCTATAGCCCCCCCTAAGCATCCTGCTTGAGCCCAAGTCTCAGGGGAAAGGAACTACCATCAAAGCCTATTGGGTTCAGAAACAGGCAGCAGCTGGAGGGGCATTTGCAGCTTAAGAACACCACTGGTTGAATTTGCCTTGAGGGACTTTGACAGATTGTTATCACAGATCCCTCCCTTGGCTCAAACAACTGTACCGCCAAGGGAATCTTAATGACCTTGGCAGTCTATTGCATTAGCCTCCACGTCATCACATCTCTAGCCCTTTCCCTGTAGGCTGGTTTCTTGGCCCACCATTATACACTAGTTCTTACTATTGGTGGTGAGGTTTCAATCAATATTGTAACAGAAAGCAAAACATACAAGACCAGTACCCTGGGACCATCACAGCAGGACTGGGAAGAAAAGTGGTTTAATTTAATTCATAGAAATAATTAAATGGCCTCAAGCAGAATGAGAAGACAGAACAGTAAATTGATGGATAAAGAGAAAGCTTTCAGGTAAAATCACTTAATACGGCAGAATTAGCCAAATTGCCAGAGGAAGACTTAGGGTCAATAGTCGTAATGCAATCAATGCTGTACAGTATATACCTTATAACTTAAATTTTACAACTTAAGTATATATGTTATAACTTAAATTTTATTATTTTTAAGTTAATATATGATATGACTTATAAGTTAACTTATCAGTTAAATTTTGTAAGTCAATAAATATTCAGAATGACTTCCTGTGTAAATCACTTAAGCAACAAATGCAAGGAGTAAATGTAGTGTGATAAAGAGACCAAGATAGAGACTTAATGTGAGTAATTTTTTTTAAAAGATTTATTTATTTATTCATATAGAACCGCAGTACAGGCCAGAGATGCGGAGGGTGAGAGGATTCACCAGAGGCAGAGCAGAGAACAGAACAGGCAGATCGACGAAGTATACTGCTGAGGGGAGCAACGGGCGAGTCAGGAGAGGTCTGCCTCGCCGTGTGGATCTCCTCCGGGGCAAGCGGGGATCGAACTCATGCGGAAGTGGCTCAAGCCTAGTGCTGTGCTTTAACCCGCTGCGTCACCAGGGAGGGCCCTAATGTGAGTAATTTTTTTTAAAGATTTATTTATTTATTCATACAGAACTGGGGTACAGGCCAGAGATGCGGAGGGTGAGAGGATTCACCAGAGACAGAGT